TAGAGGCTGCCAAGGGGCAACATGGGAGGCGTCAGAATCTCTGGTGCATTAAAGGGATAGAGCTGCCATACTAGCCCAAGACGGCCAACCTACAGAGTGTAATATGAGAACGTGTATATTTTATCATCAGACACAACTATTGAGGAATTTCCATTAAAACAACAATACACAAACCACCACCCACAACAACCCCAAGCCAAGCCACCATTAGAGTGGAATTCTTTTGACTTTATGCGTTCATGGAAGTGAACTAATTACCCTGACTTGGTGCCTGACAAGTCAGGGGAGGAAACAAATTTGTGGAAATATTTCATAAGGAGTTGAACATTTGGATCTGCGGAGCAAAAGAGAAGTTAGGGATGGTGGGAGGGTTATTGGAGAGTCGCCTGCATAAGGCTGACAGTTTACAGAACCTAGACCCCATAACAGCTGTGGGGCCAGTGACTGTTCTTAGGACAGGAGGCTAGTGACACAGAGCAGAGAAGCTGGAACTAACTTTGTGGGGCTTTGGTTAGGGAGGAAGAAAAAGAAAAGGGGCTGGAGAAAATGCAGTCAGAGTCACAGTGGGAAAACCAGGGTAACTTAAAAGTCATGGACGGAAGGGAGGAGAAGACAGGTCATTAATGGTCAAATCTTTCAAAGAAACAAAGGACCAGTTAGCAATGGAGAAAAGGTCATTGCATTTGGCCATGTGCTCACTAGGAAACTGAGGGTGCACCATATTAGGTGAACGGTAGGGACATGGCCAGATTTCAGAGGGTAAAGATGGGACTAGGTGGTGAGGGGGTGGCTTACACGTGCATTCACTGAGGAGCCCGGGGACAGAGGGAAGAAGAGGGCAGAAGCCACTGGGGGGCATCAGATGTCCCCTCCCCAGGACGGGAAGCCCCCTAATGGAGCTGCTGCCCAATACTGTACTTAGACACTGACTGTTATTTTAGTTCTCTGATTGTTTGGGGCCAAGTTTATATAGAAGTGAAAGCCTTTATCAGTATTAAGAAAAGAAAAAGAGAAGGTAATGATGGAAGGGCTCATGGAGTATTCCTGAGGACGAGGGTAAAGGAGGGAACTAGCCATGTGAACAGTTTAAGTACAAGAAAGCAGGCTTAGTACCTGGAAAGAACGAGGGCTCTAGAACCAAACAGGCTTCGTGGGGCTTGGAATTCAGACTGTGTCTTACCTGCCCCGGGCTCTCTGTTTTTTTCTTCATCTGAAGAATGGAGGGTTTCTTGGTTTACAGAGTTGTGGGGGGCAAGAGCAAAGTTGTGTGTGGAGTCCAGCATGATCGAGAAGTTCAATAACATCCTATTCCCTGGTTCGCATTAGTTGCATTTCCCAGAAAAGCATCGTGATGTAATTATTTTTGGACATCGAAAAAATAAACACTTCAATGTTAATAGTTAAAGGACACCATTGAATGTGTAATTTTGTGAACTCCCCCTCCCCAATTTGAAGCATCATTTAAAAAAATAGCCCATCTGTCTTCCAATGCATGGCATGGTGGGGAAACTGAGCTTTATTGGAGCCAGGAAGGTCCCCTTCAGCCTCTTCCATTTAGGCTGCAATTGACATCTTGTGAAGTGGTTCCATAGTTGTGGTCATATTTGATTCTGATGATGGGAGGCAGGGCAGATGTTGGGATCCCTATTTTGCAACTAAAAAAGAAAAAGAACAGCTTAGAACAGGAAGTGATGACCTCTAGAAGCCAGCAAGGCTCACTTAGTTCATGCTCAATAAACCTTATTTTCTTTCTTAAAATAGAGTTGCTAGATCAGGAAATTCTATCTACAAAGTGTGTTTTGATGTTATCAGGGCACATGACAAAGTCTCTTGCTGAGCCTTTTGGACAAGAAGGGAAATAAATGTAAGCTGGGTGAGAGAGGTTGGTAGCACCCGAGTGAGCCAGCAGCCATGGCTCCAAAATAATGAAGAAAGAGCAATGCCAACCTGGACAGAGCCCGTCAGTTTGGCACCTGTCCTACTAAACAGTTTATTGATTTTATTGATCTTTTATTGATTTGAGTCCGATCAAGTCAAAGAGGTCAGGGCAGCAGATTTGTAGTTGTCAAAGCTGGGAGTGATACTTAATACTTAGATATTAAAATTCATATTGACAAAGACTTTGAGCAATGGACAGAAGTTTAATAGGACACATGCAAAACCTTGTTCTCTGTTAAAAATAATTAGCAGTCCAAGTACAGGATGGAGGAGATGGTGTTAAAGCAGCCCGTGCACTGCAGATTACTTTAGTTGGTGCAAGTTCAGTGTGAGCCACGGGACTGATGGAGCTGGAGGAGGAGACAGAGCAGGCTGCGTGCAGCAGGGTCACGGGACACGGGAGCCCGCGGAAAGGACTGGGGGTGTTGAGCCTGGGGAAGAGGATGCCAGCATGGGCAAGAGGTGGGCCTGTGTTCGAGGAAATGAAGCTGGTTTTGTAGAGGTGGGAGTAGCCCACGGCTGCAGAGGAAGGAATAGGAGCTGTGGATGTTGCTCCATAGGCAGAAGCAGATTTGGGTTCAACTCAAGACACCTTAGCAAGTGCAGCAGTTTGCTAGTGAGCAGGGTGTTTTGTGAGGTCATGATTCCCTGGACCATGGAAGTGGATAATTTCTTCTTATTAAATATATTTGGAGAGGATTGTGTAGGGGTGGGAATTTGGACACAGTGATAATCATGAGGAGAGCTACCTTCTATTTCATTCCCGCAACAACCCTGAGAGGTGAGTATCATCTCCATTTTGCAGATGAGGAAAGTGAGAGGACAGAGGGTAAGTGATTTGCTCAAGTCACCCACCAGGTACGTGGCAAAACCAAGACTCAGACCTAAAGTCTTCTTAAAACCCTTACTCTGTCCCCTCTTCCAACCCTGGGATTTTAGGGGGGCAGCAATGCCCGGCCCAAGAAGACGCCCTGACGGTTTTGCTTTCATCCCCCCTTTGCTCCTGTGGAAAACAGGAGTGTTGATTTCTCTCCCACCGTATCCTTCAGGAAGTTCGATAGGGTAAGGTTGGTATATGGGCTTAAATCATTTAAAACTCTCCCTACCCCACCAAAGAACTCTACATAAACTGAATATATGTTTAAGTTAAATTAACCTCATATTTTGAATAGGTCATGCATGTTCATGGTACAAAATTTGAATTATACCAAAAGCAACTTTTCCCTTCACATCTCTTCCCCTACCACCTACCCAATTTCCTTCCGAGGAGATAAGCAATGGGCTAACAGTTTCTCATGTATCCTGCCGATGTCTTTTCGATGTATATACAAGCAAGCACTGTGTACGTATTTTTTTCTCAAGTGGTGGCATGCTTTGCACACAGTTTTATAACATACTTTTATACATATTAATATATAACGTTGGCCTATGTGAAATACCCATATCCTATCATTTTGAGGTAATATATATTGGAAATCCTTCAATATCAGTGCATTAAGAAGCTACTTCAGTCTTTTTAAAAATAAAGTGTAATATACATAAGACTTTAGGAATCCTAAGTGTATACACATTTGTGTAACCAGCACCCCAATCTATAATGAGAATAGTACCAGCATCCAGAAGGCCCCTGTGCCCCTCACTCTGGCCACTACCTCATTTTGAAATCTATGTAAAAGGAGTCATCCTGCATGTACTTTTAATGAGTCTAGATTCTTCAATTGCTTGCACAATTGTTCATTTTTGGAAGTCTCATTTTATTTAACCCTATTGGCACCCAATTGATGGACCGTAAGGTTGTTTATAATCTTTTGCTATTACAAGCAATGAAAGAAACAAACACCCTTGTAAACAGAATACTTTTTAATGTGTTTTATCGTGGAAAATTCCCAACATTTACAAAGTAAATAGAATAGTATAATGGACACTCAGTTTCCACAACTATCAACATTCTGCTTCTGGCCGAATGTATTTTTGGACTACGATTCCATTTACTTACCAAAACAGCAGCAAAAAGCCATAACCTATGAGAAGGCTAAATATGTAAACTTTGGAGTCTCCGCTGTGAGATGCCAATGAAGAGATGTGTGATGGTGGGGAAGTCACCTAACCTCTCTGAGACTCTCTCCGGAACGATGGAGGCACGGGTTCCTGAGGCGCGGACCTAGGGTGAGGCGAGGGGAGTCCTCGGAGGCTTTGCAGCCGCAGGTGGAGCTGTGCTGAGTGGCCCAAGGGAAGATGCAGGTGGACAACGACGGCTTGGGCTACTGCCAATGGCCTTTCATCTTTTACGGGAGAGTCTTTGGTAAGGTTTCATTTGATGAATGCTTAAAAAAAGAAGAAAGGAAAAGAAAAAGGAAATAGAGGGAAACCAGCGATACAACCATTTGGCCTTCCCCGTCTTTCTGTCTTTTTAAATCACATTTTCACTTGTTAAAATCACTTCTGAGCCAAGGGACACTGATTTTTTTATTCACATTTCCCCTCAACTTTATTGAGATATAATTGACATATAACATTGCATAAGCTTAAGGTGTACCACGTGTTGATTTGATGCACGGACACACCCTCCTCAAAGCAAGAACATTCCCGGGAGATTGGGGAGAGGGCGGGGCGGGAGAGGGTCCTGGGGAGGGATGGCCTGGCCCAAGCTGAGGTCTTGAACTAGCGCCAGCCACCTCCTGTCGCTCCCACCCCTTCTTCTGTAAAATCTTGTCTCCTGTAGCTGACCCCCAGCCTCTGCTTCATTGGTTCTGGTTTCCCAATAAATCATACAGATTCTAGTGCCTGTTAGCTGTGCTTGCCATGAGTGCAAGTTATTTTTCTGGCGGAGAATAACTTTCCCGGTGCCCCAATGCCCCGCGCGGCGCTGCTTCCCGATCCCCGCCACCGCCCGGCCCGGGAGGTCCTCACTGGGTGGGAAGTAAAGGGTCAACAGGCCCTCCCAGGCCCCGCACCCCACCCTCCTGCACTTGCCCGCCAATCGCCTCCGGTAGGGATGCCGGGAGCCCAGTGCGGCTGCTCCAGCCGCGGGAAGGGCTCTCCTCCCAGCGCTGAGCCCTTGGCCCTGGCAGACGCCCCAAGATTGTTGTGAGGAGTCTAGCCAGTTGGTGAGCGCTGTAATCTGAACCAGCTGTGTCCAGACTGAGGCCCCATTTGCATTGTTTAACATACTTAGAAAATGAAGTGTTCATTTTTAACATTCCTCCTCCAATTGGTTTAATGCTGAATTACTGAAAAAGGCTAAGCAAAACCAGGTGCTTTCTCTGCAGGCTCTCCGGCGGCTCGGAGGACCCAGGCTCTCCCCTGTCCTCTCCACGCCTCGCTCATCCCCCCTGGAATAAAACTATCGCGAGCTCCAGGGCCGGGAGGAGGCAGAAGTTCAGGAGCTGCCCCGAGGGGCCTGCACGGTGAGCTCTTTTTTGCCCTTTGCTTCTCCTGCTCACGCATCTTGGACATGCCAGGATTAAAAAGGTAAGTTTCCTGCTCCGGGTTGTTTCCTCCAGGGTCTGGAAATCTTACTAAAAACCTGATGGGTGGAAAATGGCTATGGCTGTGATTCAGGCTGTGTCAGGATATTGGAAAAGGCATTAGCTAGTGATGCAATGATATTGTTAATTATAAAAAGCTGCGCCTCTGTAATTTCCATCTTGAAGCCTTCTTTCAGGAGTGCGTATTTTATAATACTTTCAGAAGTCAGCATCTGAGAGAGGTCTGCAAAAACCTCAGAGCTCCAGTCCTCTTTCCTTTTCAGAAAGGGCAAATTTGTGTGCCATTTTTAAACAGAATTATATATTTTTTAAAATTGAGAGAAATTGCTAGTTGACTAGCAATTCCTAGCAATTATTTGTTGCATCGGCTGTTGGACAAGCAAACGGGCTAGCTGAACATCCCGAGGCTGGATTTGCTCTATGTCTGTGTGGGATTCACAAAGGGCATGCGACCCAGAAGTTCCAAGCCAATGAAAAGTGGAGACTGCAGACAGAAACACATGTAAGCAAACCTTTTGCTATTCTTTGAGGAAATTGCAATTCCAGTCAAGTAATCCTTAGGCTTTGAAAAACTTTATCTAGATTAGATCTGCACAGTCTTTATCCAGAGGACTCTTGAAAAGGTAGTTGCTGTAGACAGATTGTGTGTGTGAGGTGTGTGAGTGTGTGTGTGTGTGTGCTGAACAGTAAGCTGTGATAATGTCATCTTGGATGGGGGACCAGCGCCTCTGACAGCCTCGACATCTGCTTGGTGTCTCGGCCTCCCTCACAGTTTAGGTTGGTATGCAAAATGGGTGGACACACCTGTTTTCGAAATTTCCAGGGACCAGTTATGAGTATCAAAGACTCCCCCAGTATTCCTGTAGTTGGTCTGTTTTTGGAGTTTCCTAGAGTTTTCACTGTGTGAGCAACAGTGCTTGGATATTATTTCATATCCGGAAAACCCTCTCCATTAGCCTGGAACTCCCTTGGCCCCTGGAACCCAGCTGTGGCTCTTCCAGGAGGCTGGGTGTAAGGCTGGTCCCCTCAGAGGAGGCTTGTCCCAGGGCTGCCCTCTGGCCAAAGGGAATAGGCGAGTAGGGGGAGAAACGGGGTGAGCACTCCTTTTCCGCTAGCTCGTCAAGTCCACTGCTTTCTGTCAGCCTGTTATGTCTCCAACATAAACGAGACAGGGTTTTACAACCAACCGAAAGGAAGCTTCATGTGAAGAAACAGGAAAACATTGAAATTCATAATATACAGCCTGGAAAATAAATTTGTTATTGTTCTTTCATTCCTTCCAGAGACAAATCTGGCTGTTGCAAATATCAAAAAGCCCTGGGATTTGGCTCTGCACTTTATAAGGTCAGCACTGTCTCCAGTGTCCTAGAACCTGGCTCACGCAGGCACTTAGAGAAGTGAAGCTGTGTGGAGTCGCAGGGCCCTGAGTCTCTGGATGAAGGAAGGAGACTGGATGAAGGAAGTGGGCGCGTACCCCCCAAGTACGACATCAGGGTTCTGTTCCCTCTGGATGCCACCTTCATTCCGGGGCCCTCCAAGGTCCCAGGATTGTTGATTCAGATAAGCCTTGTGTCATGGGTTGCGTGAGCTTTATAATCTATTGAACATTCTTTTTATGAAGGGAGGAATTACGAGGAGGCATATGCTCATAGTCACAGGCCACTGAATCCAGGCCTACTGAAGAAGCCTTCAAATCACCCCCTCCAGGAAGCCTTCCCTGAACTTCCTGTCCCTTCCCAGCCTGGCTTTCATGGCACTCAATGGGTATTTCTATCAGTGCCCTTTACAAAGTGTGCATAGATGTTATTGGCTCGTGCAGCTCTCCAACTAGTCTGTAGGGCAGTGATTGGGTCATAGTTTTGTAACACTTCTGCCTAGAATCTGTGCCTGCAAGTAGATGCTGAGGGAAATCGCTATTGAACTGAATAGTAATCTATTCATCTGCATAGATTTTCTAAAAGCGAACTTAAACCATTTTAAGTGTACAATTCAGTGGTGTTAAGTACGTTTTGCATTGTTGCACAGCCCATCTCTAGGACTCTTCATCTTGCCCAACTGCAGCTCTACCCACTGAACCACAGCTGCCCACCTCCCTTCCGCCCCAGCCTGGCAACCAACATTCTGCTTTTTGTCTCTATGAGTTTAACTGCTTTAGGTTCCTCATATAAGTGGAATCATGCCGTATCTGTTCCATGACTGGCTTATTTCACTCAGCCTTGTGTCCTCAAGATTCATCCATATTGTAGCACGTGACAGGATTTCTTTCCTTTTTTGAAACTGACTAATATTCCCTCTTATGTGTGCATCGCAGTTCGTTTATCTAGTCGTCTGTTGATGGACACTTGGGGTGCTCCACCTTTTGGATATTGTGAATAGGTTGCTCCTAACATGGGTGCACAAATATCTCTGCAAGTCCCTACTTTCACTCCCTTTGGGTATATGCTCAGGTTGTGGAGTAAATCCATTGGTGATTTTTTTGAGGAACTGCAGTCCTGTTTTCTGCAGCAGCTGCATCATTTTCCATTCCTGACAGCAGTGCACAAGGGTTGCGATTTCTCCACATCCTCACCAACACTCGTTTTCTGCTTGTTTAATTATAGCCATTCTTTTGTTGTGAAGTGGTATCTGCTTTGCACTGGTTTGGTGCCCCATGAATGACAGAGCCAGCCTGACCCAAGGGTTCTGGAATCTTCTCCTAAGTTTGCCTATATATGTTTCTTCCTCGCGGGGCTGCCCATGCCCTGGGCTCCTCTTCCCATCAGGACCCATGTGAAGCCCTCTCTGTTGGTGGCTTTCTTGTGACATCTTTCTTCTATGGACTCCAGGGCTTCACGGTCACACTCTTCCAGCCTTTCCTCTTTCAAGGGTGCTATGGCCTGTTCCCTCTGTAATCATCTCAGAATATATTTAAAACTCAGGACAATCTCCTTGTGTGAGAGGTAAAGACAAAGCAGTTGGTCAATCTCTTGTTAATAATGCCACAGCAGTGGGCTTTAGACTTTTCCTTTGAAGCAGCAAAACGCTTTATTTTAAAAATGCCATCAGACGCATTATCCCAACATATGAAACCAAAAGAAGAGGCTGTGCTGAGTGTGATGGTTGGGGTATCTGGCAGCCCCCTTGGCCTCTGTAGAGTGTCCCTTGTTGCCCCAGTATAAGCCCAAGGGAAGTCACCTTAGGAAATGCCCACGGGCAGCACGAGGCCCATGTACACCCCCAGACCTAGATCCTGGAAGCGTCTTGAGCATTTACGCCAGCTTCTCGCTCTCTGCAGGATACTCGCCATCACCGTGCTGGCTCTCTGTCTTCCAAGTCCTGGGAATGCGCAGGTAAGATTTTTATTTTGTTAATTATCTAGAGGTGTGTTAAAAATCAGGTTGAGGGTGTTCAGCCACACATTCTAGAATCCTAGGACTGTGCAGGTGGGAGTGGCTTTCCAATTTACCTAAAGCAAGCTCTTCTGAGGTTAAAGCTAGAGGACTCAGAGAGGTTGGGACTTGTCCCGGGATGTCCTGATTCATCGTAAACGTTAAAAAGTCAAATGTGTTCTAGTGCTTCTGGGCAATAGCATCATGCAAAGCCTTCCTGTGGCCCAGGTGGGTCTGTGTGTCTGCACCTCTGGGCTGAGATCCCTTGGAGAAGTTTAACCTCTTTGGGGGAGGTCAGGCTCAGGGTGGGTGTCTGGGAGAGGTCTGCAGTATCTAGACTTTATGCAGCCATGTGTGTCAGCCTCTGAGATGCGCGGGCAGACCCCTCCTGAAAGCCCGAGCAGCCTCCCTGTTTCTCTGGCTCAGAAATGAGAGAAGCCCCATGTCTGAGCAGGGCTGTGGGGCTGCAGGCAGCGAGGGGGACATTTTTCCTGTTTGTATTGAGAATTTTGAAATGTGCTCAGATCATCAGGAGTGGACCGTGGAATCCTCCAGTCCAGCCTCCCGGGGACCAGTGGAGGCATTTAGGGACAGAGAGGGCAGTGGTTACAGTATGGTGTTTACTGACCTTTGCACACATTAATGCATTTGTCCTTACAGCTACTCAAAAGTAAGCACTACCATTCCCATTTTATAGGCAAGGAAACTGAGACATGGAGAAGTTAGGCAGTGAGAGGGACTAGAGTGAGAATTCAAAGCTGACAGTCCGGTGGACTTGAAGCCACACTGGCTCTTAGTTGGTGAGCCAGGGCTGGAGCCCAGGTGTCCTGGCTTTCCGAGCTTTGTGGCACAGATGCCTACCTTGTTTGCTCCATTTCTTTTGCCCTAAGGCCCTAAGATACCTGAACCCACTCCCAGGAAGGCAGGCTAAATCCATCACCTCCACAAACCAACCTACAGCTCTGGGAAGCCAAATCGCTGAAGCTGTAGGGAAGGCCGGGCCTGGGGCTCCCACCGTCAACATACCTCCCGGGCTTATTCCTATAAAACGTCAGGCTCCAGGGTCTTCCTGAAAGGCCTACTGTCAAACCCCCATGGACCTCTTTCTAAATGCATGAAGTTGTAACTCAGGTTGTACATAAAGCCTATAACCCTTGGAGACTGTTAAGATCTATTTCTGGAAGCATCTTTATGCAGCTAGCTGTCTTGCTGATGTTGAAATGGAGAATTTCCCCAATTTTGCTTCTCTTAGAAAACTGACTGCATCACTGTGTAGCTTTTAATTTATGTACAGACCTCAGGATCAGACAGAGGATTTTATAGGAGCTAAAGAACTCATACTGGGCACTGAGAAGGTGAAGTTAAACAGCACCCATAGAAAGAGAGTAACTGCCCTTAAAAGCAGTCATGTTTATTTCCAGAAAGGGATGAACACGGGACGTGCCTCACTAGGCAGATCAGATGTGATTATTATTGCTCTTAATAACCAGAGCATGAAAAAGCCCCTGTAACCATCTGCTACAATGGGGGATTTTGAAAGCAATGGAGCAGGTAGCTTAAAAAACAATGCCAAGTGTAAAGTGGTTGTAAGAGAATACAAAAAAAAAAGGGCAAATAAGCATTATAACACACGTGTTGGTATTATGGATGCTTTTTTGTAGCCTTTACTCCATTTCCCAAACTTTCTGTAATGCTGTTATAGTACTTTTATAGTAAGAAAAATGAGTGAAATGACCTCGCTTCTTTCTTCTCTCTCTTTTCCTGCAGCAGCAATGCACTAACGGTTTTGATCTGGACCGCTCGTCAGGACAGTGTTTAGGTATGAGGCCCACAGACCCTTTGCTGGCCGGGGGAGGGCAGGGACAGCCCGACTGCAGGGGTGTCTCTTTCTCAGCTGTTGCTCAGTATTGTCAAACCTCCATGAGCCCGGGAAGCAAAAGTGCCCCAGAATGGCTGAAGCCAGAGACACCTTGAACTGATCACTCCCTTCGTACCCAGCACTGTGAAGCCCTGACGGGCAAAGAGGAGTTAGAACTCATCTCCATCCCCATGGAGCTCTTTGTCTGTGTTAGTTTCCTATGGCTGCCGTAACAAGTTGCCACAAATATAGTGGCTTACATGACACGTTGATTATCTCACCGGTCTTTCACTCAGTCCAACAGGGCACTACCAAGCTAAAATTGAGATGCCAGTAGGTCTTGGTTCCCTTCTGAGGACTCTAGGGGAAAAATGTAGGTCCTTGCTTATGTGTGCTGTTGATAGTACTCAGTTTCTGTAAAAAAAATTTTTTTTATGAAAGCATGTAACATTATGCAAATTGAAGGTGTGCAATGTGTTGATTTGATACATTGTAATGTGATTACTACTGTAGCATTTGCTAACACTTCCATGACATCACATAATTACCATTCCTTTCTTGTGGCGAGAACATTTAACATCTACTCTCTTAGCAATTTTCAGGTATACGATGTTGTTAGCTAGAATCACAGTGCTGGGCAATAGATCTCCAGACTGATACACCTTATAAATGGAAGTTTATTCCCTTCTACCAGCCTCTCCTTTCCCAAGTCCCAGGCAACCACGATCCTACCTGCTATTTTATGAGTTGAGCTTTTTTAGATTTCACGTCTAAGTGAGATCAGACTGTATTTGTCTTCCTCTGTCTGATTTGTCTCACTTAGCATAATGCCTCCAAGATCCATCCATGTTTGTTTGTTTTTTTCCAAATGGCAGGAGTTCCTTTGTTCTTGGGGCCAAATAATATTCCATTGTGTGTATGTACACACACACACACACACACACACACACACACACATCCAACATCTTCTTTATCCACTCATTTAAATGGGTAAAGGACACTTAGCTTGCTTCCATATCTGGGTATTATGAATACTGCTGCAGTGAACATGGGTGTGCAGATATCTCTGTGAGATCCTATTTTCATTTCTTTGGCTATATATCCAGAAATGACATTGCTGGACCATATGGTAATCTATTTTAAAATTTTTGAGGAACTTCTATACTGTTTTCCATAGTGGCGGCACCAGTTTACATTCCCACAGAACTCAGGCTGTGGGACTGAGACCCCAAATTCCTTGCTGGCTGTCAGCTGAGGACCTTTCCCAGGTTCTAGAGGCCTCCCTTATTCCTTGGCTTATTCCTCCATCTTCAAAGCCAGTGGTGCAAGTTAAGTCCTCCCATGATTTGAATCTCTTCTTTTTCTATTGTCACGTCTCTCACAAACCTTCTGCTTCTTTTCCTTCCATAAGGATTTATATGATTACATTGGGCCCCGTCCAAATAATCCCCCCCCCCCCATCCCAAGATCACCTGATTAGCAACTTTCATTCCAGCTTCTACTTAATTCCCCTTTGCTGCTAGCCTACTGTAGTCACAGGTTCTAAGGACACTTTAGGGGCTCTCTGAGCACGCCATCTAGTGGAAGAGGTGGACCTTGATGGAGTGAACTTTGTACCGGGTGGAATAAAGTCATTGCCAAGTTGAGGTGATAGCAATGGGCTCTGTGAAAGTAGGGGAGACAGTGAGGCCTTATGTCTGCAGTCAATAAAGAAAGTCTTCAGGGAGGTCTCACTTGAATTGGGTGTTGAATGACAAGTAGGATCCTGAGAAATGACATTCCAGGTGGAAAGAGCAGGAGTGGAAAAAGGACGTTAGGAGTATAGAATAGCTTGTTGTGGATGGAGCATAGGGTATACAAGAAGAATAAGGCAGCCCCACTTGCCCCCACCTTAGGGATATATTTAGCTTTTTAATTATATTTGATTTAGGGTTTTGATATAGCTAAGGAGCAGCGGGGAGATAGATAGTTCCAAAATATGAGGAGCGGTGAGGAATAAAACCCTACTGTAGAAAATCTAGGCTTGTCCTTTGATTTAAAGTGGTGGGGGATGAGGACATGCTGAGGGCACAGGGAGAGGCAGTGGCTGTCTTCTGGCCCACTGGTTTTATGGAAGATTTCAAGCTTATAGCTAGAGAATGGGCATTCTGAGCCTCGACATTTCCGTTCCCCAAGCCGTGAGTTGGTGTTTCTCAAATGAGACGGCTGGGGTAAGCTGTCAGGATTCAGGCGTCTCTCCTCAAGCCCCAGGACCCACGTGGAGCAGACGCCAAGGCTGGTGAGAGGGTTCGGGCGGGCTGCTTGTGCCGGAGCCTGAGATCAGGTTCCCCTCCCACCCTAGCAAGGCTGATGTTCTAGAGAACCTGCCTTCCCCCTCCCCATTCCAGACTAACAGACAGAGCTCCAGCCTGGCTGGCACAGCACCCTGTTGGCTGGCATGTTATGAGCTGACTTTCAAGAAAGGTCCTGTTTTCTTAATAAGTAACTAGCTCTTGGCCAAGCTTGGTCTTTCTTGATTCAGGGGACTGTCCTTAGTCTAGCTGTGCTTTGGGGTGGGAGTGGGAACAATCATCAGGTCCATCCCAGTATCTCCTGAGGATAGAATGGGCACGTGGGTACACCTGCGGTATTTTCAGATGGTATACCCAGAGGCAAACAGTCTTTATTTTAATAGTTAATATTTATTTTTGTTACCTTCTGTTTAGGCTAACTGATAGTGTTTTTAATTTGCTGTAGTCATGTAAAATAAAAAAAAATGCATTTGCTTTGGTTTCAAATATGGGTTCATTTAAAGAAAAGTGTTAAGCATGTAATAGTACAGAAATGTGTGGATACGGCTCAGATTGTGATGATGATACACCTGATGGCTGATGTTGGGATGGCACTGGTCAATTTGATTCAGTTCAGTTGACATTTGGGGGTAGTAACCAGTGACATGCTGGGGACTGATTTAAATGTTCAGGAGCAGATGCTGGTAAAGAGGGTTTTGGGTGTTTTGTGGTGCTCTTGGGCAGAGCTCTGCTTAAATATGCACCATACCCAGTGTGGCCAGGGAGCCACTAACATTCATCTGTTCTGTGGCCCTTCCAGATATTGATGAATGCCGGACCATCCCTGAAGCCTGCCGAGGAGACATGATGTGTGTTAACCAAAATGGCGGCTATTTGTGCATCCCCCGAACAAACCCAGTGTACCGAGGGCCCTACTCGAACCCCTACTCGAACCCCTACTCAGGTCCATACCCAGCAGCTGCCCCACCGCTGTCAGCTCCAAACTACCCCACGATTTCAAGGCCACTCATATGCCGCTTTGGGTACCAGATGGATGAAAGCAACCAATGTGTGGGTGAGTAGCCCAGCATCCTTGGCTTCCTTTCCATTGTGCTCTGCTGAAGGATCATCTTCGTCCAGCAGGTCCACCCAGCTGGGGTGTTAGTTGCCATTTGATGTGCCAGGGAAATGGAGACTTGCTTTCTACATAGTTCTTTTGCTTTTAGCAGCCTGTGTCTCTGGGTACCCTCCCTCCTGGGGAGTAGTTTAGTTTGCTGTCTGTCTTATTGACAGTTCTCCAAAAAACCAATTTGTTTTTTCTTTACTTTCATCTATCTGTCTATCTGTCTATCTATCTATCTATCTATCTATCTATCTATCTATCTATCTATCTATCTATCATCTATCTGTCTATCTATCCATCCATCCATCCATCTATCTATCGATCTATCATCTATCTTTTGATTGCCTCTATCTATCTATCTATTTATCATCTACCTATTTAAAGGCCAAACTCATATTTTCTCTGCTCAATAACAAGCACATCTGGTCAAAATTAGTAAGTGAATCCCGAGGAGAAGATCTAGAAAGGACCAGGACTTTCTCTTCAACACTCCTCACCCTTGAATTGAATGAAAGAAACCAAGCTTCTGAAACAAAAGAAGCCACGAGCGCCAAGGCCACCTGTTCTGGAAAGAAAGTGGGTTCCTTGGGTGGGCACCAATGCTCCTTTGACCAAAGGGAGCTCATGACAAGAGTAGACCTCTGGGAGGAAGGAGACACCATGTGCCTGAGATATGAAGGATGTTGGTGTGACTGGTGCCCAGGTGCACACTGGCGTTCTGTGGCCTGTGTAGCTTCAGCGCAGGGTACCTGGTATCCTCCCTGGACACTTTGGCTGTGATGGGTCCAAAACCTTTGTAACTGTCTCCAGCTTTGGAAGATGGTCTACAGTGTTGATGGCTGCAAACGTTTTTGATCATGCACCCCACCTACATAATCCTGAGCCTACACCCCCACTATATGCATATTTATAAATTACATATGTATCTTGCTATACTGTTATGGTTTGAGGAGTATAAAGCATACATAAGAAATAGAAAATTGTAAAGGGTTGTGATAAAAATAAATGTGAATTGAAGTTCTAATATCTCCTTCCTATACCCCAAGACTTTGGGGGGACCATCAATCTCTTTAGTGAGATTTTTGTTGGTCCCATTTCAGGATTCTGAGGTGCTGAGCTGGGTCAGCTCTTAGAGGGGTTGTATTGGTTGCTTTGTGCTGTCCTCTAAACGTTCACGTTAATGAGTGTGTGTGAGAGAGAGAGATGGCAGGGGGAGCTGAGTGGTGGTCATTTTAGTAGATGAGTGTGCAAAGCAAAGCAGCGTGGGACCCAGGAAAGTCATGGATGCAGCTTTGGTCGAGAAGACAGTAACACGCTTCCTTATAACAAGCAGTTAGAACCGTTGTAATCTGAAGGGAAGTTCAACAATCTTTAACTTCATTTTATAGAAAAGGAACATAGACTCCAACAAGTCAGGCACATTTTCCCCCCACTCAACCCCATGACCTCTCTTATCTGGTGGAAAAGAAATGATTCCAAAAGGAAATGCAGAGAAAGAGAGGTTGGGGGGGTGGTGCTGCCCCTCCAGGATGTCCTGAGGGGCTGGCTAAGCCCACTGGTCACGTGCATGACTTGCAGTGAGGAAGGGGTGTGAGATCACCATGCAGTTGAGGAGGGGCTGTGGCGCAGGCGGCTCCACCTGACGTTTTGGAGGTCTGGCAGGCCCCTTTCCTGGGGCAGCTGGGAACAGCGCAGGGCTCTCTGAAGCGTCTGCCTCCCTCCCCCAGCCCACTTTCCAGGACCCCAGAGCCCTTGGGAATAAGGACATGGCTGGGAAACCGATTCATCTCTTGGTCCCTGTGACGTCATGCAGTTTTACAGCTCCCAACCTGTCACACGGGAGATGCAGAACCTTCATAATAGCCCTTTTGTCAGAAGAATACAATCTGGGAGCCCTGGCGAGGACTGGCATCCCGCCCGTCCATTTCCAAAAAGTTGAGCATTATGCATTCATCCAGCGCGAGTTCTGACTTCCCTTCCCTCCACCCCACCGTTTCCTGATGTACAGGAGGGCCTTCTGGCCGGTGTAAGAGGCGGTTGCCAGGGGAGGGGGCAAAGGACGGGACGGGGAGGGGAGTCTCTCCCAGCCACCCTTCCCTCCAGAACCAGAGCAGAGAGGTGGGCTTGGGAACAGGCAGAAGGGCAGCGGGGCAGCACAGGGGCGGCCGGGATGGAGAGAGACCCGGGGGAAATGACTGAGGGACGCGTAGCTGAGCCCGGAGTCGTCCCTGTGAGCAGGCGGAGAATGTCAGTTTCCCCGAATGTAGGTCTGATCCTGCGCAGGAATTACAGAACAAGCCATGTGTAATCGGGGAGAATCAGTAAACATTGCCGAGACTGATGGTCCAGGAGCGGAGAGCACCCCCAGAGGGGCCTCCTCCTCCAGATAGGACAGCAGCAGCTCACCTGGTGCTGTGCCCAGGACCTGCGCCCGAATTAGCACCTTAATCCTCCCACAACCCTGTGTGGTGGGACTCTTAACTCCTGGTGTACAGATGAGGACCTGAGGCACAGAGAGGTTAGGAGCCCGTCTGAGGTCACACAGTGAATGGAAGCGAATCAGGGTCTGACCCCTTCCATGCTCTGGAGGAGGAAACAGGCTCAGCGAGGTGAAGGTTAGTTCAAAGCATCTCAGAGAGTCAGTGCTGGAGCCATGATTAAAATCTAGGGCTTTCTCTTGCTTTTTTTGTAATTAAAATTTTTCTTCTGTAAAATTTTGAACTAAGGCAAAAACTAAGACAAAAGGAGGTGATGAGCACTTACCTACTTGCTGCTCAGCTTCAGCGATTGCCAGCCTACGCCCAGTCTTGCTTCTTTACCCTCACACAGTGGAAACATACTCCTTCATCTCCTCTGTTCTTCTGTAAACTGGTAATAGTTCGATTTTAAGACTTGATCCAATTAAAATTGAATGTTTTTGGCAAACTGCTTCATAGGTAACGCCCCTGCCCTCTGGTCCTCTTCGTTTCTTCCCCAGAACCATAAGAACGTCTGCCTTAAAGAAGCAAGCAGATGTTTCACTGTGGCTTCCTTTTCCTGGGCTCCGGAAGCACAGGCAGGGCAGCCATTTTCCCCCTTGTGTCGGAAGGAGCCGGAGCCCTGTTCCCGCAGGCTGGGCTGGGCCGGGCTCAGCGCCTGGGTCCCCTGTGCCTCTGAGCTGCCTTCTCTACCTTCTACGTGGGGTTCCACCTTGGGTGACTAGACCCCGTTCCTTCTGGAACAAAGTTTGGCCTCAGGGTTTGAGTCCACAAGCCCCTGAATGTAAATCTGGGTCACTCAGGACACCTTCACAGAGCGCGAGCAGTGACCCAAGAAATACAGACCATGAGCCAAGGACGTTTCGTGTCAGCTGGCACCTTGGCTTGGGAATGTGCGGCACCAGGGCGGCCTCCGCGAGGATGGTGGAGCTCATGGCTGGTTAGGATGTGTCTTCTGGATCCTGGCCCCTTGGGAGGCTTGGAGGCCAGCTTCTCAGGGGATGGAGAGACAGAAGGACATGGGTGACCAGCGAGGAGGAAAGGTCTGCGGCAGGGACGTCTTACCTACTTAGGATACAACCAAGACCCAGGCAAAAGGCAAAATCAGACACATTCAAAGGGTTCTGAGCTGGCCCAGAGACACCTCCCGAGCAGGGCGGTGTGGGGTTAGCAGGGGTGGTGCTGAAGGCCGAGGAAGAGAGGTAAGCTGAGCTGAAAGACTAGGGCACCTGGGATTTGAACCCCCATTCAGGACCCTTCCTATCACAGCAGGCACCTCTGACAACAGGATCTTTGGCCAGGGTCGCTGAGTGTGGATGCCACTTGTTTATGGGTGTTTGTCCCCTTCCAGGCTCCACTTCTTACCTCTCTGGGCAGATATTCTTAGTTCTTGCTTTGCTAGTCAACTTGCCTCAACGGCAAATTTAGGTCCTCCACCAATAACTAATGCTCACGAAGTGTTTTGTGGCTGAGAAAGCAACCTTTTTCTAGAGCTGTGCTATACTGCAGGAATTGTTCTGGTCATTTGTGAAATTACAAGCCATGTCTTTATTCTTCCTCCCAGCCTGGGGTTTTCTCATTGATCAAAGTGCCTGAGCAGGCAGAGAGGAACATGTATAGATGCCTTTGGAAGATGGATGGTGTTGGCTGGAGGCTTTCTCTCCAGTTATTTTTCTTGAAAGCCAGCCAGTGTTTATTCAATGTTTACAGAGCACCTCATGGGTGCCAGGCTCTGGCCTAGGCATCGAGGGAGGCAGGGAGTCTGGGCACAGCCACAGAGCTCTCTCTCCAAAGCTTACTGTCAAGGCAGGGAGATTAGACATAAACAAGCTGCTGAAATACCAGCTGGCCTCTGATAGACCCCTGAGATGTATGAAGAGAAGGCAGAGAAGGGAAGGCTGTGTGTGCTGGAGTAGAGAGGGCCAGAGCTAGGAAGTCAGATGGGCCTTGATTCTCACCTGGGTTTGGCCACTCCGTAGCTTTGAGAACTGGGGTCAGCTTCCTCACCTGTGAAATGGGTATAACAATGCATACCTCAAAGGTAATGTGAAAATACCTTGTCCAGTGTCTGCAGAGTGTCACGTGGTAAATATTCATTGGAAAAGATTCTTGGGTCTTGAGATAATAACTCATAGAAGGACTCACAGAGCCTGAAAAGGTATTGAAAGCCTAATTCTTTAAAATCTTTAAAATGACCTCAGCCCGGGCTTGGTACACACCCACCTAGTAGACCTTGCAGGGCCTGGTCCAGTTCAGCCACTTATGAGGCTTCAGTCAGATTCTGCTTCGAGGTGCCAGCAAAGCCTGGGTTCATTTAAATTATGAAACAAAACAAAGGGAAGTCTTCCAGTGTGGCCTTTGTTCCTAGTGGATAAGACAAGGACAAGAGCTTGTAGGAACCTCTCTTAGCCACCAATGAGGCAGGCTCTGGCAGGCTTTCTTTTTGCTGTTTTATACAGGCCTGGACTGTAACTT